GAGAGAGAGAGAGAGGGAGAGAGGAAGAGATAGGAAGAAAGAGAGAGAGAGACAAGATTTTCACGCGACTTCAAACTTATCGCGCGGTTGCGTTTCATCCATGAAGAAGAAGAAGAGGAGGAGGAGAACGAAAGAATGCGAAGTGTTTCGTTGTTCGATCGAGGAATATTATTTTGGAGGACGAGTGGTTTTCTGTGTTTGCACGGTGGAAATGTTTGACGAGAGAAAATGGGGTTTAAGAGGGGTGGCGAGAAAATGGGAGTTAATAACGACACGTGGCTTAATGACACGTTATTTTGCGCTGGAAAGGATAAAAAAATCGTGAAGGGGAATCGTTAGATAGATGGTTAAAGTTGAAGTACATTTATAAAAATTGAAATAGAAATTATCTTGAAATTTGCAAGTTTGGATACGTAAAAATATTATTATCTCTTATCTGGATCGAGGTTGCAGCGTGTAATTTAGAATTAAAAGTATTGCGATCCTAGAAATTTTTCAGAAGGTAGAGAAAAGTACGAGAATTGAAATTCTTATGCTCGATTTGCGTTTACATTGTTGGGATAATATTCTTTCGGTGGCAACGTGTGTTTGTGTCGACGTGCAACGATCTATAAAGATACACGAGTAGCCCTCTGCCGTAAACTTGTGCCGTCCCCATTTTTTGACGCCTTTGACGATCGAGAAAACGTGGAAGGAATGCAGAGAAACACGAAAACAAGTAATCTGATATTAATGAAATTTTATACTACGCTTCGAGCAAGCTTTCCATTCAAAGAGATATTTCAATGAAACAACGACAACAACAACAACAACAATGTCTTTTAATTCCGCAATAAATTTTGTTATAATCCGTTTTTACTACTTAATTATTAATTTTAATTATTACAAGAAATGCTACGAGAATAATAATGAAAAGAAGTAAAGGCGCCGACTGTTGTTCAAATTTTGAGAAAGTTTCCGTATTACTCTTTTTTATTTCGTTTAATAATTATTATGTATATAACGTATGAATCGAATCATACAGCTATAATTAAATTTATGAATTTATTAATCGTCCGGAAAAATAATAAAATCTAAAATCTTAAAATCCTAAATGTATAGAAAATAAATTATCACAACTTGTTATTTGCGTACATACACGAATACTCACACACACACAGAGAGAGAACTTATTCAAATTTATAAATGAAAAGTGGACATAGCTGATCACTTACAATATTCGAACGAAAGACTATTGCGTTCAATGATGGCAATGATTTATAATCTAAAAAAGAGAGCGTATCGTATCCCTTGGATAAATTCTCAAAGAAACATGAAAAGAAATCTTTTACAAAGATTTCTTCGATACAATTCCATCAAACGTAATAATATAAAAAAAATATATCATTGTATAGATACAAAAATATCATAATACTATCATCAGGTCAACATCGAAGAGAGCAAAGATGGAGCAAAATTTTCAATATTCGATTCTCTTTATGACTTTATGAGTGGTAATCTCGATAGCCTCGATAAGCAAGTTCCTGTCCATAGGTGTCTCTGTAATATCCAGTTGGATATTCAGGACCGTGGTGTTCCCCGGGATAAGGATAACTGTTTTCCTTGTGATACGGATAAGCTATGCCACTTTGACTGTACACAGGTGGATGATAAGTCTGTGTAAACGGCTTGTAAAGTTTGAAGAAGCCGATTAAACCGGGTATCACGATCGCAAGGAAGCCTAGAAACTTCTTGAAGGACGCCAGGCCCAGGATCAGAGGCAGGAACAAGAGCAGCTTCAGTTTGAACAGCTTCAACACGAGCAGCATGGGGATTAGAAGTCTCTTGAATTGATTACGAGCTGTTAGAAGAAATACAAGATTAATAATATTTAGAAACAGATCCAATAAATGTACTTTAAAGTTACTTTAAAATTAAAATTAACGTAGAGATGAAAAGAAGTATCGTGAAAAAGATATTGAAGATAATGTATACATTTTGGAAAACTTTTTGGAGAATTATTTTTCGTTAATGAATCTTAAACAGATTATTTATTTGCTCACAGAAAAGGGTATCCTTTTTGTTCTCAAGAGTATCAATTTCGTCGGCGATTTCATCCAAGAATCGCGGTGCGTACACTTCGTTTTCTCCAGTTTCCTCAGAAGGTACGTGCAATTCGATGGCCACGGTTTTCACGAATTTTTCAATTTTTCTCAGAGCGAACTTCATCAGTTGGTCCCATTCAGAGTCTGTAGACCTGAAAAAGGGGAAAAATTGAAATATTCGTTATTGATAAAAAATGAACTGTGCAGATATATTTTCTGGATACCTGGCTTCGCTGGAGTATTCATACGGTTGACGATCGACCTCCTGCACGATGTCATTCGACATCCTGATAACCTTCACGTGTTCGTTCATATCGTAGCGAGGCTGGTCGAAGAAATCGGAGAAATAACCCAAAGCCTGAGATTTGAAGCATTCAGCTAGATCGCCGTTTAAACATCCTTGATTCGTCTTTGCCACGTAAGGATCCACGTTTCGATCCACTATCCAATCGAAAAGTCCCTTCCCTTGCCGCGTCTTGTTGAAATTCGCCCGTTCTTCCGGCACGTGATTCTCTGAAAATCGAATTAGATCGATTTACAAATTTCGAACCTCTTTCTTCGACACCGAATTGTCTCATAATTTACTTTTCAAAATTCCAAAATTTCCATTCGTGTCAAAATCGAATGTTTCCAAATGACTCACCGTCTGCCTCGGATCCGGAAGTTCCATCCTCGAATGTGACCGACAGACACGGTACCAACAGCGTCAACAACACCACGTAACCTATCCTTACCGGCAATTGCACTAGTCGCATTCTTCTGAACGTCACACGAATCCTGCAATCACCTTTCCTTTATCGACACACTCGCGAAAACAACATCCTCTCTCGCGAAAATATATGCACAAATACACACGACATACGTCTGATGGTATCCCTTAACCAGAAAGAAACGGTCGCTGCACTCTTTTTCAACTCGAGCGGAAAGAGGAAGGAAAAGGAATGGGGAAAATGAGTGACGTTTGGAAAATGGATCGCGCTCTATCTCTAAACCTCGTCTGGAGCGACTGGATCGGGTAACGACATCGATTCCACGATTCCAGGGGGAGGGAAAAAAAAAAAAAAAAAAAAAAAAAAAAGAAGAGAATCACGGCGATCGTGATTCACGAACCGCGGTCGAACGTCTGTCGGGAGACCCAACAAGTTGGATCGTTAACCACGCGGCGGATCTCCAAGTTCCGTTACCTCGGCGGACCAATCGCGAGTCCTGGTTCAAAGGAACCGGGTCCGTAACCTTGTATTCCGGTCGCGCGTCCATCGCATTCGTTACGCCGATCACGCATTCTCTTTAACCGAATTCACCGTGCGCGGTTAATATCCTTTTCTTAATTGTAACGTTTCTAATTACTTTAATATTTAATTTAATCTTGGCTTCGAGGAAATCGATTCGTGAATTAGTTAGTCGCATCGGTCGATTTAATCAAGTAATAAAGTTCGATTTTATTATATAATATAATATAATAAGTGACTTGGATATTGGATAAAATTTTTTTTCTTTTTTTCTTTTTGGAATTGTCAATCAGAGAAATCTCACCGTTTCTAACAATGATCGAATCTTTTAACGAAAGAATCTCTTTTTTTTACATTTGGAAAATAAAAATTGGAAGATTTTCATCGTGCGACAAAATTGAATCGAATTTTGAGTTTCGAAAAAAGAGAAAAAGTCTCACCTTCTCGATGGAAGAAAATGCAATGGAGGATGGACTTAGAGACGATCGGCTCGCTCGTCTGTTCCTCTTTATTTATATACGAGAGGAGGCTCGTGGAGTGAGAGGAGAAGGATTCGTAGGTTGCGATTCGTGCGGGGGCAGAAAAGGGAGCATGTAAAAAATCGAAAGTGAAAGCCGGTCCCCGGATGCGGGATCCGGAACAAGTCGGTTTCGAGCGAGCAGGGAGGAGCAAGAGTGACGAGAACGAGAAGAAGTCGTTGGACTTTCCTCGTAATCCACGTTCGAGAGTGCGTCATCGAGCCTGCTCCTTTCGTTTTCTCCCGTCTTCTCCGACATATTCGTTCAACTCTTCGTTCTTTCGAAACTGTGAATTCTAGATATTCGGTTACGACCCTTTCGTGGAAACGAAAATCGAGACTGGAATACAAAATTTTTTTCGCTCATTATTAATCCCGAATTGCGAAACGAAAATATTTTTATATCTTTCGATAAAGAAGCTTCGTTTTTTTTTTTTTTTTTTACAGTTGATGATATTCGTGAAATAGCTTTGGAGGATGAATAAAGAAAATTGATTGATCGAAAAAAAAAAGAAAAACAATTTCCTTATCCAATTGTTAAAATTGCAATTTCATTTCATATATAATTCTTCGAATAAATAATTACGTATATTTGTTTGTAGAGAAGAAAAATCCTATCCTCCAAAACTATGAACAAATATATAATTGCACCACTGAATTAAATTCCAAATTAC